AAATGGCTAGTATTTTCATTCTTGTCTGGAGATCAGGACTCAACCCAAATTCTATAGTGCCTCAGATCTGATAATAATTAATATGCCAGAGGTTACAAGCCCAAGCCCTCTCTGTGTGACTCAGTTTATGCACCTGACTTTCTCCTGGGCTTCCCTTTGAATTCAGCTCTAGTAGCTACTTTTTCTCCACTGTTCTCCAACAGGGCTGGAAGTCTTGTTTTGTCCTTTTCCAGTTTCCATTCCTATGGGCTGGAGGCTATTCCAATGCTATAGCCCTACTCCCCTTGGGTAGACCATGACGTAGATGTCAATGAATGCCTGGATTCTTGAGGATTCTCTAATGAAATTGCACCTGTAGAAGGCCTTGATATCTTTGGCTTCTCTCGTGTTGATCATTTATTTGAACCTTGGCAGAGATTCTGAGTCTGCAAAAATAATAAACTTTATCTTCTCCTTGAGAATTCTCAGCCTGTGATGTAATTTGGGTCTGAGTTTCAGCAACCTCTTGCTAGTGGGCAGGCAAGTTTTTAGGCATTACCACCACCCGTTTCTTGCTGTCAGTAAACAATCATGTTGTCTTAATATATTGAGATGTGTTGGCAGAGTCTCTGGTTGATTTCTGATGTTTTTCCTATACATAAGAGATTAAGATTCTAAATATATTTTTGTCTCCATTTTCCAATTTTTTTTCTCAGCATCTAATGTAGCACAGTAAATGTACTAGGAATTCAATAACTATTTCTTGAATAAATGAATGGGGAGTCACAAACTTATTAGGACTCAAAGTATCACTAAATGCTTTGGTATTTCATCAGAAAAATGGGGTAATGATATTTAATTCAGGAAGATACTAGGAGGATTAGATATGATCAGTGTGGTATGCTCTGGAATAGGCATTCCTCCACAAGAAATGGCAATAATATCATTAACAAGATGTGGCTGAGTCAGATGCCACCCAGCAGCCAGTTAATGTGCCCCAGTGACATTCTTCAGCAAGGGATAAAACATTTATTTTCCTACTTCTCACCCACACCTGAACTGCTCTCCTGTAGCCTTTTTCTTAAGTCAAGGAAAATAACCCTTAATTTATTTAAGGCACATTTCTGGAAGTCATCGGAGGGGTATGACAGAGATGATTTCTTGAACAAATTTTCAGATAGTTTTGTTTTCTTTACTCTCCCACTTGATCATTTTTTCACATAGTCATTTTACTGGCTTGACATTTACTTGACATTTAACTTTCACACATTTTGAACAATTATCTTTTCAAGTTTAAATTGACAGGAAATGTAAATCTGAATTCTGTACTGAAGACTTTGAAATCTGGTATCCACTTATTTCATTACCATTTGATCACTCAACACAATATGATGAACTATAATAATGCCCCCCCTGGCATCAAAAAATTGCTAAAGATAATAGAGCTGGGGCTGTCATATTGGCTCTCATCACATTGAAAAATCAAAGCAGAGAGACAGAGGTGTTTTGATTACTATCAGTTCGTGGGAAAATCTTAGACACAGAAATGTTTGATGTGGGTAACATGATAAATAAATCTATTTTATTGTATCTTTAGGACTACGGTGTACTTCATTTTATAATGCTAGATGACATATTAACAGACTCTACTTTCCTTTGGCTAAAAAAAGAAACCCTGTTATTGAAGGACTGTCAATTATTCTTAATGTAGACTTCCAAATTTTTTGGCTTAAAATTCTGCAAATATAGAAAGCTTTTGTAGGAGATATTCAGCATACCAATGAGAGATAGGTGTATTCTCTTTGCACATTGTAATAATCCAGGTGCATTCTACTCTAGCGGTTGGCCTGTGATGTAAGATTAATCAATGAACAAAATATGTTCTTTGGAAAAATAGTGTAAGTTTGAATTTTACACTGAAAATTTAAGAACATGATAATTTACATGTGCATTCCTTCTTTGGCTCTTGCAATGGTTAATCAATTAATGATAGTGAGAAAGGGACTTAGATATTATTTTGTCACTGAAAGAATTATGTATATACTCCATATATTTCTGAAATAATGATATGCTTTTCTGGAATTCTACCTACTTGGTGGTTATGAAACTCCAGTGCAAAATTTAAATATTTGTATCAGTATCACAGTGCTATGTTAAATTTTAAAATAGCTCAACTAAAATATATAATCTATTCAACTGACATATGTGTTCACTAGAGATATTAAATTGATTTTTAAACCAGTGGTTTACTGAGTGGTATAGTTTAGTACTAGTGAATCTTCCAACTCACATAGGTTCCTTATAGCTAAGTGACAACCTGTCTTGTTTGCATGAGATACTGTTGTCTCTGTGAAATTACTGCTACTGCCTCCTTTTACTTTCAAAAGGCATTTATGTGTGTGTGTGTGTGTGTGTGTGTGTGGTTTAATATCCAAAACATTACATTTGGCTTTTGCCTTTTTATTTTCCTTATTTTAATCTTTTAAATTATATTTTAAGTTCTGGAGTACTTAAATGTGCAGGTTTGTTACATAGGTATACACGTGCCATGGTGGTTTGCTGCATCCATCACCGCGCCATCTACATTAGGTATTTCTCCTAATTCTATCATTCCCCAATTTCCCTACCCCCTGCTATCCTTCTCCTACCCCCTGACCCCCCAACAGGCCCCGTGTGTGATTTTCCCCTCCCTATGTCCATGTGTTCTCGTTGTTCAACATCCACTTATGAGTGAGAACACAGTGTTGGTTTTCTGTTCTTGTGTCAGTTTGCTGAGAATGGTGGTGAAGTACATGAACACTCTACTTAAACAGTCCCAGAATCCATTGTTTCTGACTCTTTTTGGACCAAATTTCTTCCCTAGATTTTTCATGACTCTTTTGTACTATAGGCCCCAGGGCTGTTTTCTTTGCTTCAGTGGATTCCAATGGAAACTTTTTGCTGAAGAATGCATTTATAAAAGAACTTTAAAAAGGATTAAAAAGTCTTAAAATACATAATATTTGCTCTTTTTCACCATTGAACAGTCATCACTTGGCACAATGCTTGGCTATAGTAGAGACTCCATAATTACTTGTTGAAAAAATTAACCATTTAAAAACTTAATCATTTTTTATTTAAGAAAATTCAAGTTTCTTCACACACACACTTTTCTTCCCAAAGATACTGAGCTACTTCATGATTACCCTTGGAATCATTGCTTAGTAAAATATTTCTCAAACATTGTTTGAATAAAGATTACTTGGAATTTGATCAAACAGGACCAGAATTCAGATTCCCAGATCCTGCCCCTGCGAGCCTGGTTTTGTCTCAGATAATGCCAGACAAATAATAGGCATTCCATCTAGGATCCTCTCTAACTCTAAGTCTTTGAAATCTTTTTTTTTTTTTTTTTTTTTTTTTTTTT